TTGGGGGCCCTATCCTGGGGTGAGCTGCGGGTGTCGGCCCTCTTTCCATCCCCGGAACAGGTTGAGAAATAAGGGGAAGGAGGGGAAAGTTTTTATCCAGGGAGGAAAAGGTGGTCCGGCACTAAGGTGCATGGCTGGCCCTGGACAGAGACGGGGGTGTGGGGGGGGTGTTACACGAAGGGCAAAGAACACGTTTCAAAGGAGAGCAATTCCCCCGGCGGACAGGGGAACGGAGGCTGTTCAACCCCTTCCCCCCAGTGATATCTCCTTCCCACAATATCGACTTTGTGCCTGTGCTTCAATACTTACCCTTGTGTTTAAATTAGCAGGGCAGATTTATAGCTCCCTCCCTTTTAAGTAATTTATTGTGGTAAATTAGTTTATATTTGAACAGACTCTCGGTCTCCTAATTCGCCTTCGCCCAAACAGGTCCCCAGCTGCATCAGTCTGCGGCCTTTGGAGAGACAGTGAAAGGCAGTCAGGCGTTGAACAATAAAACCCACTTCAATTCGTTTCCATCCACACCGGAGAGTCCTTTTAAATCAAGTCCCGAGCAAACTTTGTTTGCTTGGATCTTGATTTAAAAGAACTCCGTGTGCATGGTTTATAACCCCGGGGTATTTCACCATCCTTCTCCGGTGGTGGTTTGAAAAGTCCTTTAAAAGGCACTTCAAGACCTCAGCCGTGTTATCATCTTTACTGCGGTGAACCGAATTATCTTATCTTTATCCTAAGAACAAAGTAAACCGGGGAAGGAGCCCCCTGCCCAGCCAGCGCCGTCCCCGGCCGGGCTGCTCTCCCTCCTACCCGCGCGGGAGCTGCCAGGAGCGGCTGCTTCCCGGGATTTTCCCTTTGTTTTGGAAAAGCCGTTTCCATCTTCCTCCGGGTCCGTGGGATCGGGTGGATTAAACTGTGCCTTGCCGGGGCTGCTAAGGGCAAAATTTCGTTGTGCAGAAAGGAGCCCCGCCGGGGAACTGCGCCGGTCGCGCCGAGGGAGGAGACCGCGCAGAAATATTTTCTGCGCTTCGGGTTTGATGTTTTGGTGTCTAGAATGCAGACCTCCGTTACCCCTGAAGTTTATTTATGCTCTTAAATATTTTTTAGCGTAAACTATTCTTTTTCATTTAGTGAAATACTATGGGTTTTTCCTTTCTTTTTTTCCGTTTTCCTACTTTGTTCTTTTTTCTCTTTTCTTGTTTCCCTTTTTCCTTTTTTCCTTTTTTTTCCTTCCCGTTAGATCATTTTTAATACTTTCGAAGATGAAAAAAAAAGAGTGTATTTTTCTTTGGAAGAAAATAACATTCCAGACGAAGGAAGTTATTTCAGAAAAAGAGACAGACAGGGGGAGGGGGAAAGGGACGAGACTTTAAATCGAGGGGTTGCTCGGTTTGGCTCCGGGCTGCCCGTTTGCGCCGGAGCCGGGCTCGGGGCAAAGGCGAGCTGCAAACGCTGCTCGGGCGCCGGCGG